AGACCGGCCAATATTAAAGTTGTACGGAGCAATTTTTGCACGTACCGGGCCGATTTGTGTACTGGTATTGTATTGTACAATCAGGTTACCGCCTTCTTCGACATATTTCATCAGCCTGTCGTAGTGATTATTCATCCACTCATTGGTATTATATGCTCTTACACCTGTAATGATCGCATCAAATTGCTGGAGGTTATTTCTTGAAAGTTCTTTATCCCCTAACAAGGTGACTGTATAACCCATTTGCTCCAGTGCTTCCGGCACCTTATCACCCGCGCCGACGATGTAACCAATTTTCTTGTTATAGACAGCGTAGCTGAACTCGCTCTTTACAATTTCAGCAGGCTTGAAATAAACAATCGCCGGGATATGATCATAGTGAATCGCAAAAAGGTCGAATACCGGTTTCGAATTAGCAACATTGATCACGGGGTCGATGGTCTTTGCCTGTGTAATGTCAGCCAACTGCGCATTTTCTTTAGCCAATTTTGCATCGGTATGTGGTGTATAGGAAACCGTGGAGGAAAATACCTGGCCCTTCCGCATTTCACCCGAATAGAGAGCATCGCCTGACTGTTTCTTAATCTCTACCTTATTTGCATTCTTATTTGAACTAACAGTCCATTCATAATTATACGCGCCTTCATTGCCGCTATTCACGATCATTTCAGGCCTGATCTTTACCGTGTACGGTGGTATAACCACCAACGGCTGATAAATTTCTCCTTTCACAGGATCGGTAAACCGATACTTTACAGCTCTTGAAAAAGTGAAGGGTTGTCCTTCGATCACGATCCTGACATTTGCCGTATAGGCAGCGTCAACATCGGCCTGCCCGATCAACTGCTGGTCCTGCACATTAAAATATCCTTCCTCCATTTTTTTAGCCAGCCAGTATGGCTGCGTGACCGGTTTATCAGGGCTGACGAAAAAGGTTTTGGAAAAATTAAGATTGCGGTTCCTGGCAAGTGGTAAAGTAAATAACGAATCGAATGCATCGACAGTGATGCCTTGCAAATTCGCATTTACACCGAGACGATTGTTAATAGAGAAATTCATACGTACTGAATCGGTTTGCACCGCGTACATGTCAGGGGAAACGATATCAATAAAAAGACCACTGCATTGTTCGATCAGCAACTGCGTCTCTTTCATTTTTTGCGTGCGCCAGTAACCCGGAGGTAGCTTATCCAGCAGTTTATAAAGTTCTACTAAACCCTTAACCGATTTCTCTGGGTGTAGCAAATCGAACGTGTTGGAAAGCTGGTTGATCTTCTTTTCAACGTCGCCGGCGTCTTTTACTTTTTTCCAACCCAGTTCAACGCCATCCATAATATCCTCTGTCGGTGCATCACCGCCTGTCGTTCTGAAATATTCCAGCGCTTCGCCTCTTGAACCGGCAGACCCAAATCCCTGGCTTTTATGATTACTGCGGCTTATGGCGGCAATTTCTCCATAACTTTTTCCCAGGAGAGGATTATACCCCCCTACATCGAACTTGAATTGATCAGGACTGGTTAGGTTGGTACCACCGAAGTTGAAACTATTCCAAAGGATACGTTTGGCTTTCCAGGGCTGAACATATTGTAATTGTTCAGGAAAACGGGTGGG